CCCCCACCACTTCCCCTTTAGTTCACCTCAGGGGCCTGTTCAAAACAAAAACGTGGATAAAAAAATCCGTAGCTATTACACGGTCAGCCGCTCACAGCTCCGCTGCTCGACTGCTGCTCGCACATCCTCCGGGCTGGCCCTCTCCCGACCACACGGCTGGGCAGTAATTAGCCACAGCGGAGGCTCGCGGCAATTACAGAGCGCCACGAAACCAGCAGCAGCAGTATCAGCAGTGTTAACAGCAGCAGAATTAGTATCCGCAGAATCAGCACCATCAGCAGCAGCGCCGGCAGAATTTGCAGCACTATCATTATCAACACGACCGCAGCGACACTATCGCAGCAGCTGCATTAGCAGAAAATCATCATCAGAATGATCATCATCATCAACACTATCGCAGCAGCTGCATTAGCAGAAAATCATCATCAGAATGATCATCAACACTATCGCTGCAGCTGCATTAGCAGAAAATCATCATCAGAATCATCATCATCAACACTTTCGCATCAGCAGCATTAGCAGCAGTACCAGGAGGAACACCATCACAGCGACAGTGGTGGCATGGAGGGGTCCACATCCCAAAGGTCACGACCACGCAGCTAGTGGGTACAGCGTAGCTTCTGACATCTAACAGGGGACTTCACTTATCAACGACACCGGCCCCAGGCGGTGAATTCAACTGACCGTGGCCCCGAATCCTGAACCCACGGCGTGACCCGTGAATTATGAAGCGGATTCTGAGCGGGTCTAATTTTCCCGCGCAGAGCCGATGAGCGCCGGCCGTCTGGCCGGACGGACCCCAATCGGTTGCCGGGGTTTTTACAGAAATCGAAATCCCAGCTCGAGAAAATTGCCGCGTCGTTCCATCGTCGATCAGCGGCACCGGTGTGTGAATCCCACGGGGGTAAGATTGTTAGCGGGTGGAGAGAGAGAGGGTGTGTTCACAGGGAGAGAGAGAGGGAGAGCGTGCAGGTGCAAACGCCGATAAGGAAAGTTTTAACATTTTCGTGGGATATGTTTTTCATTCTTTGATTTAACTCGTGCCACTGTAGTTTAACCTCTTTGCATTGAGTTACGCGATTGTCTCCGTCTGTCCTCACCTCAGCTCTGGGTCTTTATTCTTAGAAAAGGGATCATCATCAACATCACATGTTCTCACAACACCACAGCGGTATGGGCGCGGGTGCAGTGGGCAGAGGAGATCCAAATTTCTTGCTAAATAAAAACATTCTTTAAAAATACTCGGAATTGGAAGTGGAACAAGACACCTTCCCACGCACCACCCTGACCAATCGATGAGTTGTCGCAATCCAGGGTCGTCATTCGATTAAAGGGTCAATAATTTTGAATCGTCGTAATGAACGGAGGGGTCACCGGTGACTGTAGGGGTCACGAGAATCCCAGAGCAAGCAACACTGAAAAATTATCATTCGCGTCGTTGTGGAGAATATAAATAACAATGTGTTACAAACTATTGCTTTAATTGTACTATTTTCCACGACGATAATGAGAATGACAATATAACAACATTAAGTTAAATACACTGTTATTTATATTCTTCACAACGACGATATAATTAAGGTTGTGTACCCTGCACGGAATACATCAAACTTTGTCTCTCCATTGCTGATGTTTAGACCCTGCACTTGGTACTGATTTAAAACTGAGTTGACCAAAGGGAGGGCAATGGACCTGTTCAGATATCATTTGCCACTGTGTTCGCTGTGGCAGGGATTCGAACTCAGGTCACCAGGTTTGCAGCAGTGGATGCACTAACCACTGCATCACAAACACACACGCACGCAAAATCGCCCCCTGTAGCATTCAGACCGTTGGTAAAAAATGCTTGAGCGGGCAGCTATGATGGCCAGCACGGTGCACGAGGAAGTGGTCTGACCGGAATCACGCCCAGCCACCTTTGTCTCCCCAATGCAATTGTTTACAGGTACTCATTTAAGGCTGAGTCGACCCAGGCGAGGCCCAGCACCCAGTTCAGATACCGCTCGACTCACCAATGACGTGAGCACGCACACAAAGAGAACATTGCCCCTTAGAATAAAGAACCTTTTTTGCCAAAATTAATGTCAGCTCACCATGTATTGGATTTAATTCAGACAAACAAAATAAAACTCCAATGCGCACAAACAAACCGTCATTTACGCAGCTACAACAGCGGCATCGATGCCGAGAGGAGGCAAAATCCTCAAGAAGATAAACCGCACCAGCCCAAAAGATTCGGCCTTCAGGCGCACAGTCAATGCCACGCGGCGCACGGCACAGTCGTGGCGCTCGCCCTCCTCCGTGGGATTAACCCGCACAGGAGCACTCGGGATCCACGCTGATCTCCGAGTGCCTGATATTTGCTTTGAGCCGTGTGGCGCCGGGCTGCGGCGTACGATGCGCGGCTTAAAGCGGCGCGGCACGGCCACGCGGGTAATTGCTGCACGAGACCCTCGCGGCTGGCCACGCGCTTTCTGGAGCATGCATGCACGCGCGGCGCCAGCACACACGCACGCGAAATCAGAAGCGTCGAAATCTCCCGGAAGCGGTAAATTCGTCCTTTTATCCGATTAGTTACACGGCACGTTCCGTAATTAATTATTGGCCTTTCTACTTTACCAAGAATCCTGGGTGGGGTCTCTAGACTTTTTAATTGAGTGTCCTGTGATAATAGGTTTTTCCCCTTTTTTCTGGCAACAAAACAGGTGTTAAGATGTTAAAACACCAAACTGAAACCTTTTACAAGGAATCATGTCTACATTAACCACAATGCTTGTGGTCAGAATGCAAACAAAAAACATACTCTGATAATATATGCATTGTCCTTGACACTGATTGGTCCACACCAGAGACAGCTTTTTTTTAGACAGATTTTTGAAGGAAACATTGTCTGCTTATTTATTTTGTTGAAACGTGACGAAGGCGTGTTATATAGTTGTGTGAAGACACAGCTTAGCGCTGCCGTTGTTGTAGGAAGACATACAGCAGGCCGATGCTTCGGGCAACGGCCCTTTATCAGAGCAGAGAGAGAGAGTGTAGAGAGATTGGTTGACTTGCAGTTGGGGATCAGACTTTACACGGTGGGGCCCAGGGCATTTCAATAAACCTGACAAATGAGCATGTTTCAATTGGCATAGGAAACAGTTTTATATCAGAAAACGACCGAATGTCATACAACCCCTTAGAAAGAGAAAAATATATGCCGAAACTGATTTAAAATTTAAATACATACATCAAAATTTTAATGCAGAGCGATATCATTAATCAGCGGCGCGACACATGGGAGGAAAGCGGAGAACTCAAAGAAAACCCGGGAGTGCTATGGGGGGGGGGGGGGTAAAATGCTCAAAGTGCCACACTGGTTCAAGAATACGCTACTTTTACTGCCATCTGCCCATCCCCCTCACATTCCGAGCCTTCGGCGACTGATTTTTTTCTTCCCCGCCAGCTCTGGAGGAGACGCGACGATATTTTTGTTTCAAATAAATCTATTTTTTGTGCTGAAAACACTGGAATAAAATCGCAACGGTATTCTTTTTAGCACCTTCATTTAAAGTGGAGGAGGAATCCTCTGAGCTACGAAGCTCTTTTTTCACAGACGTCCAGCAAATCACATCGACAAAATAATACCACAAAGGATACAAGATGAATAAAGAGAAGAAAGAGTTAAGCAAGTCACTCGAAACACAATAAAAAATATACAATGACAAAAGCGTGGGCAAATTGCAACTTCATCGTCAGTTTAATGCAGCATAGTGGCTCAGAGCTTGCACAGCCTTGCGGCGTTCTTAGGGGACGATATCGCCCGATCCTCAAGAGCCACGGCGCGCCAAGTTCGGCGCCACGGCCGCTGACGTTTAGCAGACAGCTCGCGTCCGGCGACCCCCCCGCCCCGCCCCCTGGGGTGAACGCGTGAGAGCGAACGCAAGGTCGGTTGGGACGCGACGGGATTTAAAACAACAACAACAACAACAACAAAAATCCATCACTTAATAAGAGGGCGAAGCGGCCGTTTCGTGGCCACGGCCCACGCGGTCTCAGTTCATCGGAGAGCCATCGATTTAGATCTGGCGGAGGGGCGGGGCAGTGAAAAACAGACATCACCTCTTACCGCCGCTTATCCGAGACACTAGAAGAGAAAGGGAGGCGGGGGGAGGGAAATTAAAAAAGCTGAGGTTTTTGTTTCTGAATGTGGCGGACAAGGAATGTGGTGGCTTTTCGAGGGGACCTGTCAGAAATGCAGCGTGAGGAATATGGTCATAATCGCGACTGTAATTGTACAAATGCTGACAAAGTGATCGTTGTTAAATATAAGTGGCGATCGTCAATCAATATCAATGTATAAGATCATGATAAATGCATCGAATAGCTTCTCTTGTGAATCGAGATTGTTTTTCATTTGAGCTGAATGCAATGGGTTCACGCCACACCTGCATCAGCCACTAGAGACGCAACTATTCATTGGAACCAGGAACCGATTCTTGAATTCGAATTGCGACAATGAATCATAATTCACCGAATCATAGGCTGGAGGGGAGGGGTGAATTATTAGCCCACGAATGTCCACAGACAAAAAACTAAATACACTGTGTACGATGTGGTGTAAGGAATAGGTCAAACATCCCAAAGCAAGACCCTCTTCAAAATGAGCGTTGAGTTTTGCCGAGGCTTTGCGGCTTTATAATCCTACAGCTCACCACCCCGCACGCCCAAATCCATCAGAGTTCATCGCAACACATTTACATAGAAAGTGGTTTAAATAGCAGAGAAGATTAATGAAAAGGAAGATAAATAAACAAATCCACGTACACACACAAAAACCCTCCCCCCACCCCCGTGTAGCCATCCAGACTAAGATTGGTGGAGAAAGTGCTGTTAAAGAGCACCTATGAAGGTCGGCATGGCACACGAGAGGGGGTGGGTGGCCAACACCACGCCCGGCCGCCTTTGTCTCCCCAGGGGCGATGTTTTTACACACCGAACCAGGTACTCATTTGAGGCCGAGTCGACCTAGGGGAGGCCCAGGTTCGGTTAAAATAATCGTCACTGGTGTTGGCCGTGACCTGGAATCTCGGGTTGCTGGATTCATAGCACAGCGCGCTCACCGTTGCACTGCCAGTTCCCACACACATACAGACGCACACAACATTCCACCTCTTTCATCATTGGCGAAACCTGTATGCGGGCAGCCGATAATTAAACTTCACCGCACAGAGATAGAAGACTCCATGAAAAATGCAACGTGAACAAAAATAACCAAGACGGAGCCATTACAAATAATTAATAAACACACCCACAACAAGGTGGATGTTGCGTTGCCAAAATCCATTTAAGTGGCCTATTCATCCGCACCGCCGCCTGAAGCGGTGATAGACATCCTCAGCGGAAGTGTTTGTTGCAGCTTAACTTTGATCTCTCTGCAAACGCGTGTGTGCATTCGTTTACATAACATGAGCACATGCGGAGCGTTACCGGCAGGGTGACGCAGCGGTTAGAGTGCGCTTGACTCGCAGTCGGAAGCTTGCAAGTTTAAATCCTCGTCTGGGAGAAACACAGCTCTCCCACGAAGGCCTGCCTAGCGTGACGGTGGGAAGGGGCAACCGTGCTAATCGGAGGTGCGAAAAAAGCATCATCAGCCATGGTCAATCTGCTGCTGGACGAAGGCCTACCCAATGCCGCCACCATAACTCGTGATACCAGGATGGAACATTCCACCCAGCACCTGCACAGGTGCTGATTTCATCGCTCCGTCTCTGCGGTGGAGGATCCTCTCGTTCTATTTGGTGGCGGCCACTATTGTCGCTATTGAAGACCATCGGCCATCGTCCCTTCTCGTGGCGTGTCCTGCACAAGCCCACTTACTTTTATTCACAGATTTAATTATTGAATCAATCTGGAATGTGTTACCACCATGGCAATGTGGAATCTGCACCAATTGCTCAGGGGTCACCAATGGGGACGAGCAGGAGCAGATTTTGATGCAGTATCTCTTCTGTTCCCGTGGAACCAGAGCAGAAAAGATCTCCCATATTATACGATTGCCCTTATACATAGAAAAATTACAAAGAAAAAGAACTCACTCCCCCCCCCCCCCCTCCCCCATATATAGCTTTTAACAGACTTTTGGGGAAAGTGCTGTGAGCAAACCCCTATGAAGGCCGACACGGCACAAGGGGGGGGGTGGAAAAAAAAGATTCTGATGGTGACGACGATGTAAATGACAATGAAGTGATTACAACAGAGCTGGAGAACGTGGTTATCTTACAACAAAATGAACCTCGTCACTGGGACTTCCGTCACCTCTCCGATTTAAACGCGTATCACAACGCAGCATTAGAGAAGGCCGGTACGCCTAGCTCCGCAGCACATGAACCGCAAGTTAATTAAAACCAAATAAAGCAGAGGAAAATCAATTTCTTGAGACTCAAAACGATTATAGTGGAAAGATTGTTATTATCTCTGAAATAAAACTTTAATCTTATTGCGAGGGAGGCAGCACCACTCGCAGTGTGACCAATGCATTTGATTTACATCATCGTGAAATAAATAATAGGATGATTTCTTATTTACCGTTTCCAGGCTGATCCAAGACAATTATATTCCCACATCCTCGTCCATAAATTATCTTACACTAATTTAATTTGAATCACTTTCCACGGATAATCCGTTGCAATTAAATATAATTTTATTCATTTTCCTTTTTATTTTTTTAAATTCTACTTCATTCATTATATTTCACTGGCGTTTTTTTGTTAACTATACTCCGATAAATTTCCGTAATATATATTTTTTTCTTAGTTATGAAGAACGATTTAAAAACTGAACACGGGCGCAGGAAACAACAACGACGGAAAACGATTTTTTTGTTGAATTAATTATTTAAAGCAAAAACGCTAGACTGTTTATTTCCATTTTAAGATATATTATTTCATTTATTAAACATGGGCGCTGTTTATAGATTTTAACACAATGTATATTAAAATGTCGTAAGCATAACTTATTTTAAATTGCCTTCATTTTTATAAGGCCAGTCATTTTTTTTTTACCTCGGGACACCCTGGTTTATTTATGAATATTGTAACATTTTACTTGAGCGGAATTTTTTTTGGGTTTTCCAATCCCCTTCATTTTATGAATTGCAGCTTTAACGTGTTTCACGCTGTCAAACGAAAATTTTCCCACAATGTAATTTCACTGAGTAGGAAACTCCCTTTGAGATCATTAGGAGGTATGTTTTACATGTATAATCGCCATTACTATTGAACGCTTATACATTACACTTTTACTTTGAATTTATCATTTTGATTTCATAAAACGTAAGTCTTTCACCACCACCACCACAATCACTGTCATTCCTACAAAATCTCTCCGTTTCGAGTTTCATCGCTTCATTTACTTTTCATGAATAACCATTCATTAAATACATTTTACTTTTTCAAACGCAAGTCAATAAGCCACCACTGCCACCACCACCAACACCATCATCATCGTTTTAATAATTCCTATACTAATGTTAATAGTATACTTTAACACCAATTAGCTTATTTTCACTTTCTTACATTTAATTAAACTCTTTCTTAATACCATCAAAGGCAAGTCTTTCACCGCCACCATCGTCATCTTCACTCACAAACACCACAATTAGTTGTACCACTTAAACGCTAATTCACGATACTTTATTACACTCAATACATTTATTTATTTCACCAAAGGCAGACAAAACCTCTCACTGCCACCACCGTCGTCATTCCCACGAACACCCCACTGTATTTTTAAAATAATTACTTTATAACACACGCGTCGCCGCCCCACCGCCACCACCACCGCCACCGCCGCCACCACCACCGCCGCCGCCCCAGCTATCTGCTCCGACCGCTTTCCACGCTCGGGGCCGTGGGAGCCGGCGCCCCGATGGTGCTACTCGCCGGGCGGCGCTGCCACGCGTGCGTCGCCCTGTGCATGGTGCTCGCCAGCCTCCTCCTCACCGACAGCTACCTCGTGTCGCAGCAGCAGGGCGGACGCCGCATGGCCGTCTCCATCCTCAACCTTGTCGGGGACGTCTGCTTCCTGCTCATCCTGCGGTCAGTCGCCCCCTATGCCCCCCCTCCCCACTCCCCGGCGGCTTGCCCTGGCCTGACCTGTTCTCTCAGTGGTCGTGTGGATTTGTCTCTGGATCCTACGGTTTTAACCTCCACATTTACAATCAACATGCGTTTTAGAGCATTTGGCTGCTGTACATTTCCACGTGATAAGCAACTTCATTGAGCTATCATTTGTGGCCAGGGCGCTTCTGAAAAATAGCTATATAGCTCAGTGGGCCTTACCTAGTAAAATATATAAATACAAAGTTTAATTTAAATACCGGAAGTTTAGTTTCCCTATCTTATCCGATAATACTCTGCCCTTCCCAATCCTAACCTATCCCATTATGGACTGCCATATCTTAAACTCTATACCCTATTCACTCCTTTCCTGCCCTGGCATTACCCCATCTGCCTTGCGCTGATTTGGTCTGCATTGCCCCATCTGCCTTGCCCTATCTCACCTCATCACCGCATGCAACTTCTACGCTGTCTGCACGTCATTACGCAAGCATCGCCAGCAGAATTACCATCACTGTCAATAGCATGAGCACCATCATTCACCAGGATCTGCAGGGACAACGATCTCCAGCACAGACTGTTTGATGCAAGGAATTCTACAGTGGGCATCTGTTTAGGCCGGTAGGACACACGGAGGAGGTGGTGTGGGCCGCACCATGCCCTTTCTTTGATGTCTTGGTATTCCCATCGTCAAGTTAGACATGTGAATGACAATCCACTGCTGCGACAGAGCCGTTTGGGGAGAGACGAGTGGATCCAAGGTCAAAACGGAGAACTTTTCTTTTTTGCTGATCAGGAAAATAAATAATGAAGAGTGAAAAGAATGAGACAGAGAAGGAGAGAGACGAAGAGGCAGATCTAAACCAAGCGGAAGACAGACAGTATGAGAGACAGAGTGAGAACGTGAGAAGGATAGACAGAGAGCCATAGGAGAGACAGAGGCAGAAAGATAAGAGGCACAAAGGGAGACAGAACGACAGACACCGAGACGGAGAGAAAAGGAGAGACGGAGAGAGAGAGGTAATTTACATCATCCCATGCGTAGGGAAATGTGCCGATTATTGGACATGGCACCGCGTTCCGTTTGAGGGAGCTGGCAGACACTCCGTCATATTACTCAGCTTCGCCGCGCTCATTAGCCCCAACACTAACATCATCACCGTGGTCGTCATCATCAGTGGCACCTCGAGCAGTGCTGCAACCAGTGACTAATCGTGGTATCAATGATTAGCGGCTAATGTCGGTGAAATAACTTTATCAGCACCATTCATCAAAGGTTGACTTCTAATGGCCTGTAAAATCATTATTATTACTACTGTGGGTGGAAAAATTCACACCCTGATGCCTCCCCCACCCTGCCATGCCGGATGTGATCAGTGGTCGCGATTCAAGGTCGACATTCGAATAAAGAATCGGTCATTATTTTGACGCTGCGGTGAATGGTAGCGCCTCTAGTGGCTGCAGGGACGATGCTTACCGACGACACGAAGAGCACGCGAATCGCGCGGCATCCTCTCTTAAAAAAGCGCAATTCCATACGAGTCTCATGAGCTTAAGAATCAATATGAATACTGGGATGGCTCTATGCCATGTTACAGTCCGAGTATTTAACAATTATGACTTTCTTAAGAACGTACAGGATTGTAATTGTCGAATTTGTAACGTGCATAGATATTTCGCGTAGAGGCGCAGGAAACCACAGACAAGCAGGAGGGCAGCCAGAACCAGGGCCACGAACAATTGCCCGTCTTCTGCGGTCCTATATTGGGGTATTTTGGCCAATGGTGTTGGATGAAAACGTGGTTCAATAATGAATGAAATGAGGGGTGAAATGAGGGGTAATCACATGATTCGCCCCCATTACTTCCTCTCCATCTATTTTGTTCACCTCATCTCCACCATTACATCTCCACCATTACATTCAAATGTGCCATTCTCAATTCTCTGCAAAGCACCTTGGTCAAGGCCTTGGTCAAGGCGCTACATTACTAAGACACGATAAGGTTACGTACAGACATAGATAACAGCTCAGTATTAGATAGGACAAGGATCCTGCTGAAGATGAGACAGTGGGTCCGTATCGGAAGAGCTAAGAGTTCAGCATTGAGAGACAACAGCATCTTTGGATGAGACGTGGGTTCTACATGGGACGATACGAGGGTTGACGACCGGATGAGACGATATTTTCTATCGGTTATTTCCAAGAGTCCTGCATTAAGTGAGGCGAGGGTCCTACGTGGTTTGAGACGAGGGCTCGGTGTCCCCTCCATGTGAACCTGGCAGCGAAAAGTCGCGCGTCTGCTTCGGGGGGGGGGGGGGTGGGGATAAATCAACTCCTCGCTATGCCACCCCCCCCCCCGCCAACGCTACAGGACTAATTGTCCATCATGGCTTCCCCGCATAAATAACACACGTCCACAAAATTTAATGAGTGATGATGCTACACGCGCCATACATCACAGGCGCTCGCAGCCGTAGAGAAGCCGAGCGGAGCGGTGCACCGCCTTCATTCAACAAGAGGGTAAATATATAAAACAAAAAGGTAATGGCGCAGCCCTGCAAGTACTTGCTCGTCACTGCTGGCAGAAGAGCTTCCACGAAAGGAAGCTCTCGAGAGTCCCCGCCTTGACAGAGGATATTTTGGCCCACACTTCCACGTTGGCCAGACGTCTTGGAAGAGTGCCCAGGCTTTACCCATACTGGACCTACCCACTGTGGTATGTACCCATTAACACTGCTGATTGGACATACGAGGTTGGGGTGTGGGTTGGAATTAAACTATTGGCATTTTTTTTACCGGGTAAGGCCCACTGAGTTATATTGCTCTTTTTCAGAAGCAACCTGGCCATAAATGACAGCTCAATGATGTGGCTTAATCATGTCGAAATGTATATCAACCAAATACTTGAAACGCACGTTTCTAAATGTGGAGGGCAAAACCAGGGGACCCAGAAAAAAATCCACGCGACCACGGGGAGAATATGCAAACTCCAAATATACAGGCGTTAGGGTCGGTATCGAGCCCACGACCTCCTGTATATTAGGCAAGGTAGTTATCTCGAAAACACTTGCCCCATAGTTTCAACTTCCACGCCGGAAGATGGAATCGAACTAGTGTAGTAGATGAAACAAAGAATTGCAAGTCTCTGCATTGCAAGTCCAGCATAATAACCGTTACACCACTGTGGTTGCCTCCAAGTAAGCTATATATATAAAAAATGCGATACCCCGGTGCAAAATACACGGGGCTCGCCGGCAAGCGCACGGGTGAGTGGGTTTTATTCCGCGCCCGTGCGTCTGTCGCCTCTGAACATCGCGCCGCTACCACTGGCAATCGCATTCGCGGTGAAGGAGAACCAATCGGTGACGGTGGTGGCAGCGAAATGGAATTCTTTGTGTTAGGGGCTTGGTCCGAATTCAGCTCCATGCGCGCTCATATCATGGCCGGGTCAGAGGAGAAACACATCCACTCTGGAGTCACCGATTGCTGGCACAGTGATGACTCTGGTGGGGAAAAAATCCAGGAGGAAGATGACGATGATGATGACGACGATTACAATGTTGCCATACGAATGGCTTTCAGTGTAATAGACGAGGATGATGGTGATGCCAAAATTATTTCTGTATGTGGAAAAGGTGAGATTTGTGAACATCTATAAATAATCATGAACAAACACTGCACCGGGCATGGGCAGATATGTGAAGGTTGGGTATCAATCTTGATTTGAAGCTTTCGTGACTGCAGGAATCCATAGTATTTGGTTCTTTCGGTAATATCGCGTAAGTAGAAAAAATATAATAGATCCCAATTTCCGACAGCCTAAAATCGGCACTAGCTAAAGGGTTGAATTCCGCAGCAACCCCCAAACGCATCCCAGTGGATGATACAATCCCAGGTTGACGCAGCCTCCAAAGGCCTGGGACACATCCCGGCAGACACCGCCAGACCTGAAATCGCTGCCATCCTCAAAAACGCCAAGAAACCCATCAGCAACATCAGCAAGGACGAGCGCCTTGAACTCTCTAAATCCCAAAAAAAAGAGTAAGGTTGGGTATGTGATGTTGTACTGTATCTGAATTTGCACTCGGCTAGCATTCCCGGTCAGCAACTTCAACAAGTGTTCCCATTTGGCTACCCAGATAACATTCCCATTAGGCTACCCAGATAGCATTCCCACTCAGTTATCTGGTTATAATTTCCACTCGGCTGTCCAGATAACATTCGCACAGCACACTGCCGTCTGAGAGTTGGTGCATGCTCGTTTGGATTTTTGGTTCCTGTGTCTCTGGGCGATGCACCTGGGTCACCGGTCACGCCGGCAGTTTCCCGGCATGGAGTGAGCAGGAGGAGCGTCGTGCCGCCAAGCCTCCCGGCGCGGCGAGATTGGGTAATGGTCGGCGGTAAAACTCAACGACACTGACTTTAAAGAGGCACTGCTTCCCCAACCGATGGGAGTCGGACGTTCGGCGAAACCTGACGACGTTAAAATAAACACACCGCAGGGGATTGGCTCAAAAATGGGGTGGTGTTTTTATTATTATTCTGGGAGAGTAAATCGATAGCTCTGTGCACTGCGAGCTGCATGGGTGCTCAGCGGTGCAACTGGCGGCGGGTGGGGGAAAAGGAGGATTTTTTTGTAAAACCTTGCCTGGGATATAACATGAGGCTTACAAGCAAACAAAAAACGCCTTCGGATTTCAAAGTGTTTTCGGGAAACCTCCGCTCTTTTGGGTGCTTGCCGCAGAGCAGGAGGCGAGATTCCTGGGGAGGAATAAGCGTGCGTGATCCTTGGAATGCCACATGCATCGTCCGCTCAAGCAGTTTTGTCAGATTTACCGCGAACATTGTGGGCAGACTTTACGGCCGCCACCTCGAATCCCTACTGACAGAACCCGCTCCAGTCATGCCACGCGGATCTCACAGACGCATGCCCGAGTTTATGTAGTAATAAATAATTACCACACAAATATTTAAAATT